CCCCAGGATGGCCTCGAGATGCTAAAACCAGTGGTTTTCAGGTTGTTTCGCTTTCCACCATGTTTTTTTTGGGGGGGGATTATCGACCTGACGGGGCCCCTAGACGGCCCCACCAATCCCCCCGACGGCCCCAAGAGAGGTCAACATGGCCTCAGGACGGCCCCAGAGCGCTCCGAGGGACCCGCAAGGCTGCTCCGCGGGTGCCCAAGACAGGCCCCAAGACCGTCCAAACAAGTCCCGCGGGAGCCCCCCCACGAGGTCGAGACGAGAGGCACCGCGGTCTTCTTGGCGGTCCTCCGGGTGTCGCCACACTGGGGACGGTGGCCGAGCTGGCCTCGGGGATCTGGGATCCATTTGGCTCTGCGCCGTGCGGCTCTGTCGGGGCGGGGGGAGAGGAGGGGGAGGCGAAGGCGGAGGCGGCGGAGGAGGTGAGGAGTCCGTTCCACTGCTCGCAGAATGACTCCTCGCAAATGGCCTGGATCCGCCGGGGGAGTTTCTACGAGGAGTTACATCGAAGCAGGCATCTGTTTTTCGGGCGTTTGCGAGCGTTTGCGAGCAGGCACTTTGCGAGTAGTGGAACGCGCTCGGTGAGAGTCAGAGTCAGAGGAGGAGGAATCCCTCCAGCACGAGGAAGGGAGGGAAGCCGGGCGGGTTCTATGAGGGGAAGGAGGAAGAAAAGGCGGGGGGGCAAAGCTGGTGCTTCCGTCTACCGCTGCGTGCACGTGGGCATTCATCGGCTTGGCTCGGCAGAACCCTGCGAAGGATGACACGTTAACCCGTCACTGCGAAACCATATCGCCGAGCACTATCGTGTTGCTAGGTGGTCTCAACCCAGTTTGAGATGAGGAATGGCGAGTGGCAAAGCTAGTAGGGGTCGCGAACGAACAGCTCCTGGAGGTGGTCCTGGCTGGCCTCAACCAGCCCCCAAGGTAGTCTGGGGCCTGCTGAGGCCTCAACTGGCCCCCAAGCGTTGCCACTCCTCCCTGAAGTCTCCAGAGGTGTCCAGTTGTCCTCGGAGGCCCCTGGAGGTCTCTGGAGCTTGCGAACACACGAACACGTTCAAAATGGTACCAGCGCGCGGACTTCAAACAATTGACTCTTGGAGCGCCACGTATGTGTCCCTGTGTGTGTGTGTGTGTGTGTGTGTGTGTGTGTGTGTGGGTGGAATCTTGTGTGTGTATGTCTTTGTGTGTATATATATATATATATGTCTTTCTCTGTGTGTGTGTGTGTGTGTGTGCGTGCGTGCGTGCGTGTGTGTGTGAGAGAGAGAGAGAGAAGGCCCTGCGAATGCTGAGCTCTGTCGGAGATCCATAGGAGGCCAAGCTACAGGAGGCAAAGCAGCTACTGGAACAAGCGCACCAGACAGTGGCTGGTGGGGCGGAAAGCCACGGGGATCCATAGGAAGCCAAGCCGAAGAGGGAATTTCAGGGGATTTGGCTCAAGGGGAAAACATTGACGTGGAATTCGCAATACATCGCCGATAGATCGGCAATCGGCCTCAGATAACGAATCTCCACGTTCCTGAGCGGGGTAGGCTATGGGTGCCTATTTCTTGCTAACACCCCTAGCCACAGGAGACCAAGCCAAGCCATCATAACAAGTACAACAGACAGGGTCATTTCACCCCCCTGGCGTACAGAAGGCTCGTCCTAGAGACCACAAACTTATTGTCATCTCGTACGGGGTACACTATTCACGTTTGATCTCCGCCATTTGAAACCCATAATCTCTGAACTATTCTGTTACTTCCGCCAGCTTTTGCGGGCCTTTCCCCAAGCGGAGCCGCCTTCGTTTGAATTCCGCTGCCTTCCATCGCCCTTCCGCCGAGGTGTCAAACTCTCGACCCCTCGACAGCGATGCCCTCTCAGGAGCGCCCGAAGCGGAGCTCCTACATGCAAGCGCTGCTTGGCGAACGCTCGAAACTTCCCCTCCGCCTCCCGACAACAACTCCGCTCAACACCGGTCCCCAGACACCTCGCTGGGGCCCGGCCTGTCGGCTCGGCCGAAGGGGGGAGGGAGGTTAAAAGGGGGTGGCTAGCGAATCAGCTCATGCAACGGACTCTCGACGGCGTCTCCTGGCGCCAGAGCCACCCATGCATCGAGGAAAGCGCCAGGCGGCGAGGCCGAAACCGAGGGCGCCAATCTTCGCGCTTCGCGCTGCGTGAACAACTTCGCGCCCTCGAGCCATCCCCCGGGGGAGGAGGAGGAGGAGGAGGAGGAGGAGGAGGAGGAGGAGGAGGAGGAGGAGGAGGAGGAGGAGGAGGAGGAGGAGGAGGAGGAGGAGGAGGAGGAGGAGGAGGAGGAAGGAGGAGGAGGAGGAGGGAGGAGGAGGAGGAGGAGGAGGAGGAGGAGGAGGAGGCGGGGGCGGAGGCGGAGTAGGAGAGGAGGAGGCGGAGGAGGAGGGAGGAGGCAGAGGAGGGGAGGAGGGAGGAGGAGGAGGGAGGAGGAGGATGAGGAGAGGGAGGAGGCGGGGGCGGAGGCGGAGGCGGGGGCGGAGGAGGAGGCGGAGGAGGAGGAGGAGGAGGAGGCAGGAGCGGAGGCGGAGTAGGAGGAGGAGGAGGAGGAGGAGGAGGCGGAGTAGGAGGAGGAGGAGGAGGAAGAGGAGGAGGAGGAGGAGGAGGAGGAGGAAGAGGAGGAGGAGGAGGAGAAGGAGGAGGAGTAGGAGGAGGTGGAGCCGAATCGCGAAAAGCGAATACCTTCGCGCCCTCGCGGGCGTTCTTGCAAACTGGCCGCGCACAGCAGCGGATGCCTCAAACCCCCTCCTGCCGGGCCCGATCCTGGACAGCTGCCCATCTGGACGACACCCTCGGGACCCGCAGCGGGCACGCAGGGGGAGAAGCTTATACGAGTGACTTCGATCCTCGATCCTCGATCGTGGCTGCTGATCCCACTCGGCGCTTCGCGCAGAGGCAGCCCAGCGACAGGGGGTGGGCTCTCTCAGAGGGCGGCGGGGTTTCTTCTGAGACCTGCTGGGGAGAAGCTTGCGACAGACCTCGATCCTCGATCCTCGATCATGGCTGCCGATCCCACTCGGCGCTTCGCGCCAAGAGGGGGCACGGCGAGAGGGGGCGGGGCTCTCTCTCGGATGGCGGCTGGGCTTCTTTCTTCTGAGACCTGCTGGCCCGCTGGGAAAGGCCCCGCCTCCTCGCGGATGGGGGCTGCTGCTGCTCCTCCTCCGGTTCCTCCTCCTGCTGCTCCTCCTCCTCCTCCTGCTGCTCCTCCTCCTCCTCCTGCTGCTGCTGCTGCTCCTCCTCCTCCTCCTCCTGCTCCTCCTCCTCCTCTCTGCCTCCGCCCCCCCCTGTGAACGCACCGCCGACCCTCGGCGCAGGAACCGTCGGCACTGCATCGGGGAACCGGATCGGACCGGCATGAGCATCGCATCCAGCCGCACCAGCACGGAGCAGGAATCGAGTCGGATCGGCCGCGCCAGGACTCGGCGGCGCGCACAAGGGGGCAGGGGGGGAGAAGGGGGAGGCTTCTTGGAAGGAGGCTGCTTCTTAGAAGGCGCCAGCCCTGTATCTGCAGAGAGGGCCCACGCTTTCTGAGAAGCAGGGGTGCTCCTAAGAAGCCTCCCCCCCTCTCCCTACCCACCTCTGCGCGTGGCCGAAGGATGCGCAACAGCGCCGTGCGGGCGTCAGCCCGCATCGGATCATTGGAGCATCGGGACCGAATCGCATCGCGCCGGCCAGACTGGATATCGACCAGGATCGATCGGATCGAAATTGACCCCGACCTCGGTCTCGGGCCATGAAGCGTGTCACGATCGGGACGAGCTGGGCGCCCCTGGAACGCTCACCGCGAGGCGCAGCCGCTGGAACGCACCCCGAGGCAGGAAGACCTCCAAGAAACGACGAGCACCTCAGAAAGCATCGCCCGAACACGTCGCCCGAAAACCTCGGAGCGATCGGATCGAACTCGACCCAGAGGCCTCGATCCCCAAGGCTCCGCAGGGAGGAGGTCGGAGCCTCACAGCAGGGGGGCACGTCGTGTCCTCATCGCCGCCGCCGCTGCCGCCACCGACGGGCACCGCCGAGGGGCAACTCGACAGCCTGCGATGCAGCACGAGCTAACGACCCTGAGATCCGACGCTGCATGAAACATTGCGCCATCGCAGAGAATCGAGAAGGAGGAGGAGGAGGAGGACAATGAGGACGAGGAGGAGGAGGAGGACGAGGAGGACGAGGAGGAGGAGGAGGAGGAGGAGGAGGAGGAGGAGGAGGAGGAGGAGGAGGAGGAGGAGGAGGAGGAGGAGGAGGAGGAGGAGGACGAGGACGAGGAGGACGAGGAGGACGAGGAGGACTGCAGCCCTTGGGGCCCCTCTTCCCTCGAGCGCTGGATCGATCTCCAGGAGAGTCCTCGGGCCCGAAAACTGGAGCGAAAAAACGCCAGGGCAACGCCATGATCTCCAGGGAGGCAGCACGAGCTCCCTCCTCCTCCTCCTCCTCCTCCACACCTCCTCCATCCTCCTCCTCCTCCTCCTTCCTCCGCCTCCTCCTCCTCCTCCTCCTCCTCCTCCTCCTCCTCCCCTCCTCCCTCCTCCTTCCTCCTCCTCCTCCTCCCTCCTCCTCCTCCACCTCTCTCCTTCCTCCTCCTCACTCCACCTCCTCCTCCTCCTCCTCCTCTCCTCCTCCTCCTCCTCCTCCTCCTCCTCCTCCTCATCCTCCCCCAGACCCCCGACGTCCTGATTTTTTCAGGGCGCGACCCTCAGAGGTCTGGACCCGTTGCCCGGGACCGGTTTTTCACCCCGAGTCGTTTCATGAGGGTCCCGAGGGCCAGTCAGCACCCCCAGAGGCCGAAACCAGCGAAGCGCACCTCCCGTCGTGATTTCTTCGTGGCTCGCGTGGGTCTGGGTAACGAGCTCGAGCCTGCCGACCAGAAGGGGATCGAAGGGGACTTGCTTCTTCTGGTGGGCCAGGCGGAATACGCGGTGACGAGTCTGCCTCCCGCCTGGGGGCGCCGCCGCTGGCCGGGCTCCCGGAGGGGGTGGGGAGAGGTACGCCCACAGCGTGTCGATGTACATCTCCTCCGCAGGGCTCGAGCTAGGCAGTGTCTTTCGTCTGTGTTTTTAGGGGGACGACGACTGACATAAACATACAAAACTCTTTCGGGGGAACCACGAATGCATAAACGTACAAACTCGGAGGTCCGCACGGATTTCTTGGATCCGCGCTGCACCCCCCTGGCGGCGCCTCCGGCGCCGCCCCTGGCGCGCTCCGCGCGCCAGGGAGGGGGGTCCAGCGCCGATCCGAGAAATCCGCGCGGACCTCCGAGCTTTTATGTTGATGCCATCCTTCGTTCCCCCAGTCGTGTGCTCGTTTGCCTTCGTTCTGTCTTCGTTCTGCCCCTGCTGCGACACGAGAAACCAGGACACGAAAACGCGGCCCACGAAAGCGACGAAAAAAAGCCGTTTAGCTCGAGCCCTGCTCCTCCATCTGCGCCAGGTTGCACTGGTCCAGGTCGACCGGGTTCATGCCGAGCTTCCTGAGCTCGTCCTGGGGGCGGGGGGGCCCTGACGTCCCAGACCTCCGACGTCATGACGTTTTTCATGACGCGACCCACAAAGGTCTGGACCCACTCTCCGGGACCACTTTTTCATCCTGAATCCAGAATCCCTATATAGACGGCCGCGAAGCCCGGTGAGGGCCCCCGGAGGCTGGAAACAGCGAGAAACCTCCCGCCGTGATTTTCTCACTGCGCGAAGAGGTCTGACGTCTTCTCGCTGTGGAGACGTCTTGCTCGCTCCGGGCCTCTGCGTGCCCTCGCCGGGGGCCCCGGGACCAGCAAGTGAACGAGACTCTGGGACGAGCGGCCCGCCCCCAGTCGGGCGTTGGCAGAGCTAGGTTTAGCGGGACCTGGTGTAGTGATCTGTACCGGGGACGCCCCCCTCGTCCCATTCCACCAGCCGGAACTGCCGTCGCCCGAAAAGCACCAGCGACGGCAGACCTGGTTTAGTGATTCTGGCCAGTTTAGGGGCTCAGGTGCCCTACTGCTACGGCAGGTTCGTGTCGTGCCGACCCCAGCGTTGGTTTTTGACACCGCAGGGATCGTTCAACCTTGAACGATCGGCCGCTGCCGCAACGTCCGATCGTTCAACGTCGATCGATTCTGGGTCGCCGGCGGCGTTCAACCTTGAACGCCCGCGCTGGGGTCGCCGCGGGTCGACACGACGCAAACCTACCGTAACCGGGTCCCCTTTCCTGGGGTCCTGGCTATACCTGACCCACGGCAAGGGCGCAGGCCTCCGGGGAGCCGCGCCGCGAGCAAAGTCACGACGTCGGCTGTCTGGGGCGGTCCGCTTCGCCTTTTGTGAGGGGGCCCAGGGACACACAACGAGGTACATACAACTCCCAGGATCCCCCACATAGTCCCATATTTTCTGGGTGTTCGTCCTCCCCACCCCCTTCCCAAATTTTCCCCTGTTTTCCTGGGAGTCGAAGATCAACTGTGTCTATGTGTTTTTTCCCCTCCTGATTTCGGTTGCCCCGGACAGCCGCACGCTGGAGCGGACTGCCTCTGCCTCGCCGCCGTCGAAACGCATGTCTGGTCCGCCAGGTCCCCCAGCGCCGTTGCCCTGTTTCGGGGGCGGCAAAGAGCGCGGCGCCGTCGTGGGCGTCTCGGTGGCCCATGGTTTGGGCCCGGGGGTGCCAGTGGACTTCGCCCAGGTGCTGGCCCCCCAAATGCCTGGCGGTGTCCAGAGAGTTCGCACCCTCTTCAGTGCCTTCGCCGGACCTCTCGAGCCCACGCCGACCTTTCTTGCCGCAAAGCTCCGCGCTGTCCTTCTCCTCGCCCTCCTCCTCCTCCTCCTCCTCCTCCTCCTCCTCCTCCTCCTCTCTCCTCGGTCGGGCGTGTTCCCCTACATGCGGATTTTCGACGAACAAATAAAAATACGCAAGAAATATTCCAAACATAATCAAAAAATAATCCCCAGACTATTTTTTTACTATTTTTGAATATTCCTCCTGTAGAGGGACAGGCCGACTTAAGCAGGGGAGGAGATGTGTAGGGCTGAAGGGTCAGGTCTGCAGACGCCCAGGAACGTGCGCCAATGGGTACAACCAATCTGCGCGCTTGCCCCGCGCGCTTCAGACACCGCCCCCTTGATGCATTCCCTCGACGCCCCCACCCAGATGCACCACCGTGACGGCCCCCCTGATGCACCCCCTTGACGTCTCTTTGGGCTTGTCCTGCAGAGGAGGGCGATCTCCGACTCTCAGCCCTACTCAGTGGAGAAGGACAGTGATCACACCAGCATGACGCAAACACAGATGCGGCAGCGAATTTCTCCTTCGCCTGTAGCGGCGGCGGCCCCAGCCACATGCTGTGTCCTGCGAGCGGATAGCGCGTCGCCCCGCTCCGCGGGGCAGGAGGCCGGGAGCAGCTCGAGACGCCGACGCCCGAGGGCTGGGGCGTGGTCGGCGTGCCGCACCGGAGCGCGGTGGGCCAGGACCGGCGGCGCGGCACGCCAGGCAGGCGCTCGCGCCCGTAAGGAGACCAGTGCCTCCATCCTGCTGCTGCTGCTGCTGCTGCTGCTGCTCCCTCGTCGTCTCCGCGCCATCGGGGGCTCCGACATCTCCGCGAACTCCGTCTCGTTCAGGAACTGCTGGCCTCGCTCGTACAGCAGGAACGCCGTCACGTCCTCCCGCGGTCTCTCCGGGAGCCACGCTGCGTAAAGGGGCCTCTGCTCCTTCTGTCCTCTTCCCTCACCTCTGCCTCACCTCATCTCTCCTTCTGTTCCTCCTCTTCCTCCTCCTCCTCTTCCTCCTCCTCCTCCTGCTCCTCGTTCCCCTCCTCCTCCTCCTCCTCCTCCTCCTCTCCTCCTCCTCCTCCTCCTCCTCCCTCCTCCTCCTCTCCTCCCCTCCTCCTCCTCCTCCTCCTCCTCCTCCCCCTCTTCCCTCCTCCCTCCTCCTCCATCCTCCATCATCCCTCCTGCCCCGCTTCGCCCTCCCCCCAAAACTCCTCCTGCTGCTGCTGCTTCTCCTCCTCCTGCCTCCTCCACCTCCGCGTCCCTCTCCTCCTCCATCCCCCCTCCTCCTCCTCCTCTCTCCCACCTCCTCCTCCCCCCTCCTCCTCCTCCTCCTCCTCCTCGTGCTCCCCCCCTCCTCCTCTCCTCCTCCTTCTACTCCCGCGCTCCTCGCGCCTCCTCCTGCTGCTTCCCCCCCTCCGCCTCCTCCTCCTCCTCCTCCTCCTCCTCCTCCTCCTCCTCCTCCTCCCTCCTCCTCCTCCTCCTCCCTCCTCCTCCTCCTCCTCCTTCCCCCCTCTCCTCCTTCCCTCCGTCCTTCCGTCGCTCCCTCCCTCCCTCCTCCCTCCTCCCCCCCTGTCTCCTTCCTCCTTTCCCTTCTCCTCCTGCTCCTGCTCACACTGCCTGCTGCTCGTCTTCTTCCTCGTCCTCCTCCTCCCTCTCCTGCTCCATTCCTCTGCCTGGAGCAAAAACTTCTCCCCGTCGCACCACGAGACGTGTCGGTTGGGCGGGCTGGGCCTTTCGCCCGGGACTTCCTCGCAACTGCTGATCCCAAGGCTGCGAACGTGCAATCGTTTCGCGGACGGAGGGCGGGCTGCTTTCAAAATGTGTGGCGCTCGCCCGGGCGCCGCGCGCATTCGTCTTCAGAGCTTGCGGATGGAGGGCGGGGTGGTTTTCAGAATGTGGCTCCCGCCCTAGCGCCGCGCACACTCGTCTTCAAAGCTGCCAAGAGCCTCAAAGACGGAGTGCGGGTGGTCTTCAGCGTGTGACTCTCGCCGCAACGCCGCGCAGCTTCGTTCGTGCCAACACATTGCAGGAGCCTCACAGAGAGAGGGCGGGCCGTTTTCAAAATGTGGCTCGCGCCCTGGCGCCGCGCACGTTCGACGGAACAGTTGCAAGAACTTCGCGGGTGGAAGGCGGTCCCCATCAAACATGCGGCTCTTGCCCGAGCGCCGCGCGCATCCGTCTTACACAAGTGCAGCAGGCTCGAGGGCTCTTACGCTTGTGACGTCCCGGAGAAGGTGTTTCGGCATGGTGCAGGACTGTCGGGACGCATCGGTGACGCTGGTTCGTGGTGTTGAGAACGCCGCGCACGTTCGAATGTAACCATGGCGAGACCTTCGCAGCATGTGGCCGTTATATGTTTCGGCGTTTCGACCTTGGGCGGAACGGGGAGGGGATGGGGAGGGGGGTCCGGTTCCGGACCCCTGCTTAAGGCGACTGTTTGCAACAGTGCGTCCTGCGGGGGAGAATCCCCCTGCGTGCAGCAGGCGCCAAAAACAGCCAAGATCTACTCCAAGGAAGGGTGTGGGGGAGGGGGGATGCGAGGGCCCGCGCCGATCGGCAAAACAGTGAATAAGAAAACGATCACATGGAAGGCGGGTTGTTCAAAATGTGGCTCTCGCCTTGGCGCCCCGCACATTCAACTTATTAGAAAGTTGCAAGAGCTTCGCGGATGGAGGGCGGCCTCTTTTGAACAGATGGCTGTCGCCCGAGTGCCGCGCACATTCGCCTTGAGAGTTCACAGCAGTGTTTAAGGTTCTTATGGTTGGCGTCTCAGGCAAATGTTTCGGCTCGGTGTAGGACAGTCAGGGCGCATCAGTTACACTGATTCGTGGTGTTGAAGTCCCAGGAGAAGTGTCCTGCCACGATTCAGGATCGTCAGAACGTGACACTAAGGTTCATTCGCGGCGTTGAAATCCAAGGAATGATGTTCTGGCACGGTTCAGGATTGTCAAGAGGTTGTCTTCCAACGGGGCGCTTCCCTCAGTGGAAGTAAATCCTTGTAGGGACCTGTGAAGAGGGAACTTGGAGGGAGGGTTTACTGCAACATCGTTGACGGGTCTTGGGCTTGTGCTGGTACTCTTCCTCCTCCTTTTTCCTGCGTCCTCGTCCTCTCCTTCCTCCCTCCTTCGCTCTCCCTCTCTATCTCTATCCTCCTCATCAGCGGAGGTGCCGCCAGAGCGATCATTCCACACGGCGTTCCCAGTAACGTTGCCGTATCGCTAGCTGGTGGCATGGAAAGCACTGCTGCGTCCCCGTCCATCATAGGAGGAGCTACCATACTGGACACGTGCAGTCCGCCGACCCCCGCTTGCCAGGGGTGAGAAAGCGTGTGGGATGCATGGCTGTCCCCCTCCCCTGTTCCCCGTTCCCCAGGCTCCAAAATCTTGTTTCTGCCCCCCTCCCCTTTTCCCACTCCCCAGGCCCCAAAATCTTGTTTAAGGGAAGGGGGGGGTGCACGAACCCCCCCTGCGCCTCTTTGGAAACTCCAAGGCTTCCAAATCTGCCTTCCGCTGCCTCACAGACGGTCCCGAATCGCCAAACGGTTGGCTCAAGACGCCTGCGATGGCTCCAAGGCACCCCAAGACGCCTTCGAGACGCCGCAAGAGAGGCCCAAGAGCCCTCCCCAAAGGGCCCCACGAGGCAGAACACAATGGTGCCCCTTACATGTTTCATTATTTGTTGGGTTTTCGTCTTCTCGAGCTTCCGATGCGCCATGGCGGCCCACGAGGCCGCGGAGACCGCCCCCAAACCGCCCTAGAGGCCCCTACGAGGGCCCCAGGCCCAAGGACGGCCCAAGAGGGTTCCAAGACGGCCCAAAGAAGGGCTCAAGACAGTCAAAGATCGAGAGGGCCCCGAGAGCGGCCAAGAAGGAGAACACGAGCCTAAAATCTGGTCTTCCCGCGCCAAGCGCTCCCACCCCCCCAAAGCCCCAAGAAGCCCCCAAGCGGCCCAAAAGAGACTTCCAATAAGCCCCAAGAGGCCCCCAAGAGGCCACAAGACGGCCCCCAAGACGCTTCAAAACTGCCTCCAAGAGGCTCAACCAAACAATTCCCAAGACGCCCACATGAGTCCTTAAACCATGCCCAAGAAGTCCACGACGCCTCAACCGTGGACTCTTCTGGGGGTCGGCAGACTGGCGTAAGTCTCTTGAGCATTGGATTCATGCAGTGCTCTGCCGCATGCCTTCTGTGAGACTCCCAGGCCATCATGGAGGAGGCGATGCTGGCTAAGATGTCGCGCACACCACCCACATCGTCGGCGAAGGCGCCGTGTTGGTGTAATGTTGGCGGTCGCATTCATTTGAGCATCCTCAGGGTGGTGTGGAAGACCAAGGCCCGCATGAAGCAAGCGGCAGGGCATCTTTTCTACGCCCCTCTCAGGCACAAATGTCCTGCTCCGTGGCAAATCCGAGATTGGATGGTGACCCAAGCATCCTGTATGCAACCTGGGAGCCCCTATCGCGGTCGGGATGAAGAAGATCGCCTGGTTGAAGAGGGAGAGAACAAGAGAGAGAGAGAGAGAGAGAAGGAGAGATGGGGGGAGAGAGAGAGAGAGAGAGAGAGACAATCCGCCTGGATATCGTAGAACACCATGGCTGGTTTCCTCATCTCAGCAACTTAACTGCCCCGATACGCAATACGCAACCCGCAGCGTGTTGACACAGAGCTCAACACATAGACTGAAAACGCAAGTCTGTCGCGATACGTCCGCCAAAACGTAAGTCAACAAGTGCCGAGCCAACACGCAACGTATTGACACGGACGTTTTAAGCACGGTGCGTGTTGCGCTTCATAACGGGCGTATCGATGCAGCTAAGCCGCCCAGATGTCGTAGAGCATCATGGCTGGCTGCCCCATCTCAGCAGGATGCGGGCCATGTGCGCGTTTCGCTCCACGTCCAGCATGTTGATGAAAACAGATGCCCGTCACGGACGGACACTATATTGTACTCCGATGCACGTGCGCTGGCACGGCGCGGCAAGCGGCTAGCTGAGCCTATGTCCCATCAACTAGTGGGAGGTGATCGATGTTGCAAGGGCTCCTTATTTCGAACCTCGCGCCGCCCGCAGGGGAGACGAGGAAGATGAGGAATCGGAGCCGAATCGCGAAGCGCGAATAATTTCGCGCCCTCCAGGGCGCCCTTGTAGATTGCAAGTGGTCTGGCATTGTCGGGCGCCCTGTGAATTACACCCGTGTCCCGCTCTTGCTGCCCTTCGGCTTAACACATCTCGCGCACACAGCTGGTGCCAGGACAGACTGTGCCTCGAGCGACTATGTGAGGGCACTGTCTGCGTATGACTTGATGGCGTCATGCCGAATCTGATGTTGCGTCCGCCCCCCTGGGGCAGAGCCAGGGAACCGCCTCCAGCACCTCTTGGTCCTCTCCGAGTTCCGCCTCCCAAACTCGGCCACCGGGCACGGGCTGAGCCCGCTCACGGGGGATATCCAGGGCCTGTGCATCAGCATCAGCATCGGCAGCTGCGCTAACCTGCCTCCAGTGGCGGGCGTCCCAGGGGATCAATGGCAGCTTGGACAGGGACCAATCGGATGAGGAGGGTGGGACAGGGGGAAGGAGGAGGAGGAGGAGGAGGAGGAGGAGGCGGAGTGCCCTCTCTGCCTCCTCCCTCCTTCGGAAAGAGGAGGGCGAGCCGAACGAGGACACGGATTGGGCCTCCTCCTGCTCGTCCCGTTCCTTCCTACCCTCACTCCTGCTTCTGCTGCTGCTGCTGCCCATCCTCCTCCCATCCCCCTTCGCGTCCTCCACCTCCACCTCCTCCACCTCCTCCTCCTTCTTGCCTTCAGGCTGCTCCCACTTTCCTCTGGTACTGCCGCTCCTCCACCTCCTCCTTATCTTGCTCTCCCTTCGGCCTCATCCCCCTCGGTCTCTCGCCGAACCTGGCCCTTCACTCTCCACTCTGCCGAGGAAGCACGGATGCTCATATGGGATCAGAAGGACATGCAAACAGAACGTGGCACGTCAGGAGCACGTCTCCCTCCTCCTCCCCGCTGCCCCTCCCTCCTCCTTCCTCCTCCCGCTTCCCCCTCGCCGAGAGCACACCCTCTGCGAGCTGAGGCGCGTGGTGTGGCAAGACGAGACGAACAACTGCACCGTCCCGCTCGCACCGGGGGGTATGGGGGCGCAGAGCTGGCACCGCGCGCGAGTCCTTGCGCTGGCCAGAAGCCATCACGGCCGCCTTCAGCTTGTCGTACTGGGCCGGCGGAGTTGGTGCACTCATGGGAGAAAACGCGAGGCAGCAGCCTCAACACGCGTGTCCAGGAGGGGGGGGGCGCTGCGCGCACAGATCTCCTCCTCCTCCTCCTCCTCCTCCTCGTTCTCGTTCTCCTCCGACGCCACGTCTTTTTCGTGACGTTGGCCCCCCCAAGGCTTTCGATTGCTGAGGGGAGGAGGGGGAGGAGGAAGAATATGAGTAGGAGGAATAGGAGGAGTAGGAGGAGTAGGAGTAGGAGTAGGAGTAGGAGTAGGAGTAGGAGTAGGAGTAGGAGGAGGAGAAGGAGGAGGAGGACCAATGTAAACACAAGACGCATCGACGATGTTGCAATTCGCCGGTCCAACGGGTCAGGGGCGTGCTAAGATCTCTGGCTAAACGTTTGCAATTTCTAGTTCGCGCGCGCGTGGCGGCCCCTGGGAGTCCTGGAACGAAAAAAAACCCAGCCGAAACCCGGGAGACTCCTGGCAAACTCCGGGCAAACTCCCGGCAAGGTCCCCGCAGGGTCCCCCAGAGCGCCTCAGACGCCCCCCAGACGGTCCGAGAGGCCCCGAGTCGCCGAAAGATCGTTCCAAGACGCCCAAGATGGCCTTCAGACAGCCCTGGAGGCCGCCAAGAAGCCCCGAGAGAGCCTCAAGAGGCCTTCCAAGAGGGCCCCAAGAAACACAAATCGTCCGATTCCCTTGAGAAAAGAGAAAACGTGCATTTTCGCATAAACAACTTTCAGGCTTCACAACGTTCCAAACTGTCCAGGATGCCCTCAAAATCGCCCCAACACGGCCCAACATGCCCCCAAGATGAGCCCAAGACAGCCCCAGAGCGCTGAAAGACAGCCCCAAAGGCCCATCAAGAAGGCTCCAGAAGCTCCCAAAGACCCCAAGAATGGTACTCCAAGCTACCATGTCCGGCCCTTTCCCGCGAGATGCCTCACGAGACCGCCAGCAGGGCCCCAAGAAGCTCCCAGAAACCCCCAGATAGTAGCCCAAGAAGCCCCCAAGAGGCCTCCCAATCAACCCCACGACGTCTTCCAGAGACCCGTCTTGTCGACGACCCAATTTCGTCTGAAGAATTCTCCAAGAAACAATTGAGAAGCCTCCTCCTTTTTTCCTCATCGTCCGCTTATGCGACATTATGGGCCGGCGGAATGAGCGAAGCGATTACATAAACCCTCCCTTCAAGTTCTCTCTTCATAGGGCCCTGGGCCTATTGGACAACAGTCGTCTCATAATTTTAAATCGTGCCACAACAACATTCCTGGGACTTCAGCGTCGCGAATCAATATGACTGCAGCGTCCTGACAATCCAAAACCGTGCCAAAACAGAATTCCTTGCACTTCATCGCCGAGAATCAACATGGCTGTTGCGATCTGTCAAGCTTAAACTTTGCCAGAACACCAATGCTGGGACTTCGACCGTGCAAATCCTTGAAGCTGTTGCCAACTTTCAAAGCTCATGAGCGCGGCTCAAAAGCGAGAGCCGCATTTAAAAAATAGCCGCCCTTCGTCCGTGAAACTGTTGCAAACTTTTAAAACGAATGTGCGTAGCGTTTAAGCGAGATCCACATCTTGAAAACGACCCGCCCTCCATCCGTGAAGCTACTGCGAACTTTTGAAACGAACGCGCGCGGCGTTAAGGCAAGAACCACATTTGAAACCGACCCGCCCTCCATCCGTGAAGTTGTTGCATCATCACTATGGTCATCAACTTCGCCATCATCGTCGTCGTCGGCGATATGTTCCCGGAGAGGCCTCTGGGAACATCTTGCCGTCGTGGTGTCCTCTTGATACCCCCCCGTCTTCCTCACCCTCCGTAGTACTCGGCAACATCATGATGGGAATACTCACGCTCCTCATGGCCATCACAATTTTCAAACAGCATCATCATCATCAACACAGCCATCCTGGCTGGCATCATCGCGAGATGTTCCCACAGAGGCCTCTGGGAACACCATGCCTTCGTGGGGTCCTCTTGGTCAGCTTTTGGCGCTCCTGGGGTGTCTTGGGGCTCTCCTGGGTCGTCGTGTGGGCTTTGGATGGGGCTTTTGGGTTGTTCTGAGGCGCTCAGGTTCTAGCGCAGTCCGGGGGACCACCGGAAGAGCTTGGACAGATCTATCATGCACAAGCGCGCCAGGCGCGCTATGGTTGCATTCATTCTCGTGGTCATTTTCATTCTCAGCGTCTTCCTCGTCCTCATCTCTTCTCATCAGCAACGTCGTCATGCCAAGGATCTTGGTCTTATTCACGATCAGCTTCATTTGTAGCATCCTTGGCCTGGTGTTGTTAATTAGTGATGCTGCACTTCCCATTCGCTCATCATAATTCTCGCCAACATCAGCAGCAACATCGTCCTCATTCGAATCATCATCCTCGTTCTCAACTCATCATCATCATCATTCATACCATCATCACGACGGGACCCGCTACGCTTAGCGTGTACGTCTTCGCAGCCATCGTCTCATCCATGATACGCATAATTAGGCGCGCTCAGGTTCAAACGCAGGTCGGGTGGTTGCTGCACGTGCTGTGTCGGCTCGAGTATGCACAAACTCGAGCCATACTCGCTTCCATCATTACCCCTCATATTAATTACCGTCCCCACCCCCTTCCTCCGCATCCTCATTGTTATGTGGCATCATCCTGGTGGTAGTACTCATATTCGCCATGGCCGTCATAACTGTCAAACATCATCATCACCACCGCCATTTTGGCTGTCATCATCGGCTTACTGCTTGTAGTGATTCGGCGATCTCGAAGCTGCGCGTCGTCATTATCACATCTATCGTCCGCACTCGAATCATGATCCTCATTCTCTCTCCCATCATCCCCATCACCGCCATCACGATTGAAAATGCTACGCGAACTGTTTACGCTGTCGCAGCCGGCGTCTCACCCATCACCCCTCTCATGACCACCATGGTCATCAGCTTTGCCATTATCGCCGTCGTCGGCGAGATGTTCCCAGAGAGGTCTCCGGAAACGTCAAACATCACCATCATCATCAGCATCACCATCATCATCATCATCATCATCATCATCATCATCATCATCATCATCATCATCATCATCATCATCATCATCATCATCATCCTCATCATCATTATCATCATCATCATCAACACCGTCATCAACATCATCATCATCGTCATCATCATCATCAACACCGCCATCATAGCTGGCATCATCGGTTCACTGCTGTTGGTAATGCGGCGACGTCACAATCACAATAATCGTCCGCACCCGAATGACTATCTCCACTCGCTGTCCCAATAACCGCCATCATCATGGAAACCACCACGCTAAGCGTTGAGGTCGTCACAGCCGTCGTCTCACTCATCATCACCCTCATTACCACCATTGTCACCATCTTCGCTGTCATCGTCGTCGTCGGCGAGATGTTCCCGGAGAGGCCTCTGGGAGCATCTTGCCTTCGTGGGGTCCTCTTGATCAATTCTTCTGGTGGTCCTTTGGGTGACTGGGGCGCTCCTGGGCTTTCGAGGGCCTTCAGCGGGGCCGGGTTGGTACTCCCGCTCCCTAACCTCCTCTTTTTCCTGGCAAAAGACACAAGGAACCAAAAAGGATACCAAAAAAAAAAGAACAAAGAAAAAAAGAAACTAAAAACCAACAAGCAAAAAAAAAAGCAAAATCAAGAACACAAGAACAAAATTACGAAACAAGCAAAAAACAAAGTATCAAAAAAATACCCAGCCCGCCCAAACCCAACCATACTAACACCACGCCCCCCCCCCACCCGTTGCACCCATTCCCCCGACCTCCATCCCCCCCCTCAACCCCCAGCCAACCCCCCCACCCTCCCGACCTCCGCAACCCCCCCGGGCACGACGGCTACGAGGCCGCTCCCGTCCCTTTTGAAACGACCTTGCGGTCCTTATCTGCCGTTTGAGAGCCCCGGAAACTCCGTAATCCGAAAACCAGAACACGTTGAACAACATACAAGGGACATCTGATGTTCGCCTTCCGAAGACTCTAGTCTTTATGAGATTCCCCCGTCCGACTTCGAAGATGTTCTGCTCCCAGCTGTGTAGCCTTGGCAAAGAATGCACGGGTGCCTTCCAGACAACCTCCCATGTTATGCAACACCCTGGCAGACACGCAATGGTTGACCCTCCACGGCAAAAAGAGGAGGAGAAGGAGGAGAGGCAAGAGGAAGAGGAGGAGGAGGAGGAGGAGTAGCAGGAGGAGAAGGAGGATGAGATAGAGAGGTGGAGGCGGAGGCGGAAGAGGAGGGATGGGGGAGTCGGTGCTCGAGTGGCTTCCCAACGTTCTCTAGGGAGTCTCTGAAAAACATGTTTGAGGCGTCTTGGGGGTCTCGGAAGGCCACCCGCGAGGTCTCTGGGGAATTTGTGGCGACGTGGGAGAGGAGGAAAGATGGGGGAGAAGATGCTCCCAGAAGCCTCTCCGGGGACTCCAGGAACATCTGGATGACGACGGCGGCGACGAGGAGTGTGATGTGATGAAGAACACAATTCGGATGTTTGGGGCCTCCTAGATGGGGTCCGAGTGCATGGGGTCGAAGGATCGCGCTGCATCGCCGATGTATCGGCGATGCATCGGCGACGTGGGTGTGGGGAAACACGGGCTCCACATCGAGCTGCATCGTCGATGCATCGGCGATGTGGCGCGATCCTCCGACCCCATCTACTCGGACCACATCTAGGCTGAGAACTTTGTCAAGCATGTGTGGCTTCGAGGTGGTCTGTGCGGAGCCTCGCAAGGGCATGCTGGAGGCGTTCTATGGGGTCTCGTGGAGCCCCCGAGGGGGCCGCTTCGGGGTCTCTCGGGGCCTCTCGGAGACTCTTGTGGGGACCCCTTCGGAGCGTCTCCGGAATTCCAGGGGCCCTCTCGGTGCCTCTTGGGGCCTGTCAGGGGGCCCTCTGGGGCCACCTCTGGACTGTCCCGTGGCCTCAGAGGCCTCGCGGAAGGGGGAAAGCGGGATCGTCCAGTTTTTGTGGTTTTCCTTTGCAGTTTTTGGTGGATCTGGCCTCCTGGCAACCTCTTGCAAGCCTCTTGCGAGCCGCTTGGGGGCCTCTTCGGGCAGTCCTGAGCTGTCTTGAACCGCCTGGGCGCAATATGGTGCCGTCTGGGCGGCTCCGAAGGCTGCCTGGAGGCCCTCCAGGCCCGTCTTGGCCCTCTTGGGGCGGGCTCCAGGGGCCCAATCCCCCTCATAGGGGTTTGAGGTCCCTGGGCTGGGCCCCTGGAACGCCTACCCCGTTGTATAGTAGTTGTATACAGCCCAAGAGGGCCCCAAGACGAGCCCCAAGACGGCCCCCAAGACGGCCCAAGGGGGCCCCAAAACGGCACCCGAGAGGCACGAAGGACCCCCACAGAGGCCCCCAACTGGCCCCAGCTCCCCAAGAGGCATCCAAAAGGCCCCAAGAGACGCCAAAACAGCCCCCAAGGGGGGCCCAAACTACTTCCGAAAAACACCCTGCAAGCCTCTGGGCCCCCCTGGGTTAGTACGGCGACGGTCATCATATAATCGGCACATCTGTATGCATGCATGCATGCATGTAGGTATGTTTGTATGTATGTATGTATGTATACTTGTGTGTGTGTGTGTTTGTATGTATGCATGTATGCATGTATGCATATATACATACATGCAGACATGCAGACGTACACACGTACAGACAGACACACATACATACATGCATACATACAAACGTACGTACATACATACATACACACATAGACACATAACCATGCACACATAAACACATACACACGCTTACACACATACGCATATATACCTATACGACTACACTTCGGGTGATAAGGAGGTTCGGGGGGGGAGGAACCAACGTCTCACTCGATCGGTCTCACTATCGATCATACTATCGACCTCGCTACCGGTCTCGCTCGATCGATATCACTCGATCGATCCCACAATCGACATCACTCGATACATTTCATTCGATCGATCTCACAATCGATATGACTATCGATCTCTCGATCTCACTATCGATCTCACAATCGATCTCACAATCTATCTCACACTCGGCCTCACGATCGATACCACATCGATATCACAATCGATCTCACAATCAACGTCATTATCATCATCATCATCGTCACCAACATCATCAGCATCATCAGCATCATCGGAACACCATCATCATCATCATCAACTCACCACCATCATCATCAACACCACCATCATCACCATCATCATCATCATCATCACCAGGGCACCATCATCGTCACCATCCTGATCACCAACATCACCATCATCGGGGCACCATCATCATCATCATCATCATCATCATCATCATCATCATCATCATCATCATCATCATCATCATCATCATCATCATCATCGGGACACCACCATCATCATCATCTCATCATCATGCACAACATCGTCAACGTCATCATCGGGACACTCTTTAATCATCAACAACATCAACATGAACATCATCATCATCATTGGGACACCATCATTATCGTCAACATCACCATCAACACCATCATCATCGGGACTACATCATCATCATCAACATCAGCATATTTACCACCCTCATCGGGCCGCCATCATCAAACTCATCATCACCTCATTATCATCCTCATCATCAACATCATCACCATCGAACACCATCATCGTCATCATCATCATCAACGTCATCATCATCGGGACACCATCATCATCACCATCATCATCATCAACAGCATCGTCATCAACTGCATAATCATCATTATCATCGGGACACCATCCTCATCACCTTCACCATCCTCATCATCGCATCATCTCAGCATCATCAGTATCATCAGGATCATCAACATCATCATCATCATCATCGGAACACAATCATCATCACCAGCAACATCAGCATCATCAACATCATCATCATTGGCACACCATCATCATCACCACCATGGCCATCATCATCACCATCATCACCATCATCGGGACACCGTCGTCGTCACCATCATCACCAACATCATCATCATCGGGACACCATCATCATCACTTCATTATCATCATCATCGGAACACCACCAGCATCATCATATCATCATCACCGTCATGAACAACATCAGCAACATCATCAATCTCGGGACACCATCATCATCATCATCAACAACATCATCATCGGGACACCATCATCATCGTTACCATCATCATCATCACCATCATCATCATCATCGGTACACCATCATCATCATCGACATCAGCATCACCATCATCATCGGGTCATCACCATCATCATCATCACCTCATCATCATCCTCATCATCAACATCATCATCATCGGGTCACCACCGTCATCATCATCATCAACATCATCACCATCATCATCTTCATCATCATCATTTCATCATCATCAGGATCATCAACATCATTGGGACACCATCATCATTATCAGCAACATCAGCATCATCAACATCATCATCATCATCGGGACACCATCACCATCACCACCACGGCCATCATCATCATCAACATAGTCATCATCATCATCATCATCATCATCATCATCATCATCATCATCATCATCATCATCATCGGGACACCGACGGGGCACCGGCGGGACACTGGCGGGACACCGCGCGGCACTGGTTGCCGGAAGGGAGACTTTTGGTCCGGCCGCGCCTCAGCCAGAGGCGGGACATTTCTCGCCCGCCCACGCAGCTTCGCCTCGCCCGCACGCACGGCACGCACGAACACGAAACCGAAACCGATTTCCCGGTAGGGGGGCTCTCCGTTCCACTTCGATCTCACCCCCTCACCTCCGATACACACATACACGCACACATACAGCCATACCACATACACATACGAACACACACATACACACATACATGTACACACATACGTACATACAAACATACATACATACATACATACATACGTACACCCATGCAAACACACATGCTCACAACCATACGTACATACACGCATGCACAATACACACCACCATACGCGCACACAAACAAACACACACACACACACCACACTACCAATCAACCGTATAGACATACATACATATTTTCATACATTCATCCACACATGCATACAACCACGCACATGTACATATACACATACACGTACATTCATACATACATACATACATACATACATACATACATACATACATACACACACATACATACATACATACATACATACATACATACATACACACACGCATACATACACACAGTTACACAGACACGCGAACCTACATACATACACACATACGTACATTCACACGTACATGCATACATGCATGTATACATATATACACACATACATGCACGTATGCATACGCACATCAGATCTGCACATTTACACACATATGTGTATTTATATATGTGCGCATATATATATACTCATATATATATACGTATAATATATATATATATATATATATGTATATATTCTCACTCGTGCTCAGAGCCACTCGTTCTCGGACTCACTCGCCCTTCCCCTCATAATCGCTCGAGTACAGGCTCGCTCATACTCAGACTCACCATCTCTCAGCTACTCAAGCTGAACCACTCATACCCTGAACCCACACTCGGACTCATCCATAGTCTCTCACAGATACCGAAACCCACTCATACTAAGGCACACTCGCAGTCAGACCCCTTTCATACCACTTGGGTCCAATCACAAACATACCAACTCATACTCAGACCCGCCCGCACTCAGCCGACCAAGTTCAGACTAGTGCAGGCGGAAAGGGTGAGGAGGCAGAGAGGAGTATGAGGGAGGATGCGGGAGGGAAGGTGAAGCAGGAGGTATGGCGAGGAGTGGGAGGCGGAGGGAGAGCTACGTACGTTGAGGAAGGGGAAGGGAGGGCGGCAGAGCGGCGCGCGGAGAAGCCGAAGTTGAGCAGCGCTGGAGGGATCCTAGGATCCGATCTGCAGCATGCCCACCTTGTGCGAGAGGCCGAGTGTGGTCCCCGCGGGGTGCGGACGAGGAGGGAGGCGAGAGAGGGAACGCGCTCCTCCTCGTCCGCAACCACGGGGTCGCCCCGGTAGTACGCGATGCACGCCTCGGTGAATGCGACCTGGCGTGAGCACCAAGCCAGGGGGGAGGGACCCTGGCCAGACAACAACGGGGAACGCCGCTTCTTGTCCATACGGCCCGGGAGACGAGGGAGAATTTCAGGGAGGGGAGGACGACAATGAGGCGGGTGAGGAGGACGGCGTGGTGGAGGAGGAGGACGAGGAGGAGGAGGAGGAGGAGGAGGAGGGGAAGGCGGGGAGGACTACGAGGAGGAAGATACGCACAAGGACGATGAGGATGAAGACGAGAAGAACGAGCACGAGCGTGGAAGACGAGGAGGACAGCGTGGATGCGGAGGAGAAGCCAGGGGAGAACGAGGATGTGGACGAGGCTCTCGAGTGAGCAGGACGACGTGGAGCACGATTTGGACAAGGCGGAGAACACCACGACGACGGGAAGGACGACGAGGACAAAGACAGCGCGAACAGCGTGGATGCCAATGAGGAGAGGACGAGGAGGACGCCGAGGAGAGGAGGGACGAGGAGCACGAGTCCGTACTTGCCAGGGCTACGATGGGGACTTCCAGGATCGTCTGAGGCCGCCTTCGAGCCGATGTGGTGTTTCTTGAAAGCGTCTGTGGGAGGAGGAGGAGGAGGAGGGGGAGGAGGAGGAGGAGGAGGAGGAGGCGGAGGAGGAGGAGGAGGAGGAAAAAAGGAGGAAGACGGAGAGGGAGGAGAGGAGGAGGAGGAAGGAGAGGAGAGGTGGTGAGGAGGAGTGCTTCTTGGTGGCCTATCAGGGTCCTGTTGAGAAGGTCTGGACCTTGTCGGACTGTCTGGGCGTGTCGTGGGGATCTTTGGGGGCTCGCTTGCCGCGCTGCAGCACTGGCAGCGCGCGGCCGCCGAATCACGGCAGACGCCCTCCTGAATTGAGAGAGGATGCGGCCCGACCCCGGCAGATGCGGACCCCCAGCGTGACAGCATCATGTCTTCCCCAGCTGGGCCCGCCTCCTCCTCCTCCTCCTCCTCCTCCTCCTC